ATCTATTTGTTCGCAATCTCATAATCACGTTTTAAATTACATTTAAGTTCGTTCTGTTTATATGTCTTTGTTGACCTGGGTGGAAAGAAATATCGCTAGATAAGAAGACATAAAATCATAACGTGAAATGTAGTAAAAAAATCTCGATGAAAAGTTATCAAGACATTTAAAGATTGAAAGATTTGAAGATTCGACATCGATGACAAGACATCGATGCAACTCAAATGGGATAAATTTTAATGTTTATAAAATCGATTTATACAGAAATCATTTCATTGGTTTGTTTACACGAAGCGACAATTACAAGACAATGGCTGAGACGGAATGGTACACGTTGAATTATTGGCGGCTACTTCGATTTGTTAGGGGAATATTTGCAATTTTATGTTATTTATATGTTAGTAAAGCTAAAATATAAATGGCTAAAACACGGCTAGCAAACTTGAAAGGCCGTAGCTTCAAAATCGCCAATAACTACTATCTTATAAACCTCCTAACAAACATTTTGGTTTATTTAGAGTGGTTACCTCTCGTTAAGTAATGTTAATGGCGTTTAATAAGTACTCTTCTTCAAAAAATAAACAGAATTATTTTGTATTTGGAAAATAAAACGTAACGTTAGAAAACTAAATTTTAATACTAATTAGTTAGTACCTGACAAACCAGTATTATACAATTTTTTCCACAACACATTTTTACCTATACAAACACAAATTCTTTGTTTGTTTACAGTACAATACAGGCATGCAGCTAAACGCAAGTTTTATAATGCCTCAAAGTATGTGATCCACTTCAATAAAAACCCAGAAAATATATGATATTTTTCTGGATATATGCTAGTTAGATACTGTGTTCCAAACATGATACTGCTAATTTAATACGACAGAAAAAAATCACAAGTATACCTCTAAAAATTTCTTTTAACAAGTAAAAACAACGCATTCTAATTTTTTGTACTGACGTTACAGTGTTTTCATTTTTTAGTCCAACTAATAGATATTTTTTTTTAAATGGCATATTCTTATTTCTGAAATAATACGTACGGATGTTTGCGTAAACACCTGTGCAGCGACCAGAGACCAGAGACACTGTCGGCCTAGGCCTGGTGCTGTATAGATGTGTAGCTCTTTTTGCCACAGTATAATTTATGTTAAGATTTTCTAAGGACGCGTTTACAAAATTGATAGGTATAGAGTCGAACTATTACATTGACACGGGTCACGCAACAAGAGGTACGCACGGTTGACTGCGGGAATCGTAGTCAAATAAAATTATTTTGATAATTTGAAAGATTGAATTTGTTTTTGATTTCTTATACTTACCTCAAAAATATACTTAGATACATAGAATAATTAGACTTAGATACGAAATACGAATACCTACTCTAAAGACTGCTTGGCACTGGAAGCCCTCTACTGGCAGTGGGATGTTAGCTGTGGACTTTGGGCTGGTTTTGTCAGTTATGACAGGATCTTACCTCCGGACTTGATGGAGTGACCTAAAGATGTACTTCGGTAACTAATACTGGAACACCTGGACTAGTAGAACTATGATGAGTCGTTACCTCTGGACTTGATGAAGTGACCTGAAGGTGTACTTCGGTAACTAATATTCCTGGACGAGGAACTAAGTGTGTCGACCTTGGGCTTGTTATGTTAGTTATGATGAGTCCTTACCTCCGGACTTGACGGAGTGACCTGAAGGTGTACTTGTAACCGCTATTGGAACTCGTCACCGAGTAGAACTAGGTGTGCCGAGTTTGGGTTCGTTTTGTTAGTTATAATGAGTCTTTACTAAAAAAATAAACAATATCATAGTGACATTATGATATTTAATTTCGTTTTCATTGGTGGGTTGCATTTTAAATGTGTGTGCGAGAATTTGTATCAATATTTTTGTGAGTATTGTCAAGGTTAGGTGTGTGTTTGGTGGTTTTTATGCTAAAATAATCATAACAGGAGTTACAGATGTATTGGGAATCAGAATGCGTAAAATTATTTATTATAATCATATTGATATCATCACTATGAATCTTGTCAGACACAGTTGAAGAAATGGCATTCCAAATTGCTCTACCTATATTTTTACTGTTTAATATTATTTTATGGTATAATTTTTTTGTGCAGTATGGATACATTTTATTAAAACTTTACTATATTATGCAACAAATTGAGCCGATTTCTTCGTTTACTAGTCTTTAACAATCGATATTTTAAATATAATTTTCGTTTATTTTTACTTGATATCCTCAGACCTTTAGTGGTTCATCTTAATTTACGAGGTCTATTATTTAATTTGATTTTAATAACAGGAATGCAGAGGTCATAGAATATGTAGAAAAGGTCGTAAAAACTTTTAAATGCTTGGTCAATTTTATTTCATTCTAAAACTTCGAAGAAAGTGAGGCTGGTAAAACAATCATAGAACTTTTTTATATTATCAACATTATAATCTCGTTTGTATTCAAATCAGAAATTATAACACTATTGATTATTGCCTTTAAGTGTTACAGTTTGTGCTGTTTCGTGATCTGAAAGGCCTAACTTAAGTACATCTTCATGTATCTTTTTTACATTGCTAGCGATTTGATCTAAACAAGTGTTCCCTCTCATCGGTTGCTCACTTGCGTATATTTTATTTAAGGATATCAAGGTTTCAATCACCATAAATTATAATTTTCTTCCAATGGTATTTGCTTGCTAGATGATGTAATAATTTTTCTCGTTTGTGTAGGAACATTCCTATTGAAGGTACTTTATAATCTAGAACTCGATAAATTATGCAAACTATAAGATTTGATTTATTTTATATTAAACTATAAAATGACGTTGTAGAGCCATGCTGCAGTTATATTAGTAGTATAGTTGTAGCACGAATGGGTCGGCTCGACCGGGGAGGGACCACGCTCTCACAGAATACCAGCGTAAAATAGTAGCTTGACGCTGCTGTTTTTCGTTAAAAAATTATCTTTAAAGAAAAAAAGCCGGTTGCAAAGAACTAAAAGAATAAATAATTTCCACATTATAGCTTCTGAAGACGGGGCTTAAAAGTATTAACTTTTACTCTATGTTTACGTTATGATGTGAAAATTATTTTATTTTTTTTAGTTTTTTGAAGACAGCTTTTACTTTTTATCAAAAGTAAAGTTTTTTGTATCAACTATTTTGTGGAAGCGCTATATGTTCAATTTTAAGTAGTGATTTGCACGTGCTCGGCGGTAAAGTAAAAATTAGCAAGCAACTTCATGTTTGAGAAATAAAATGTTACAAGCACATTTAAAGTTCGCCAATATGCACCTGGAGCAGCATACTTGTGTCCATCAATAGGACGTATTTGTAACACACTAGTACTCTATTACTCTATTGTTTTATGTTTTCAAAGGAAAAAAGAAGGTCCCGCTGAGCTTATTGCTGGTTCTTCGGAGGTTTTTTCTGAACCAGTGGTATATTAAACATAAGAGTGACTTTCAATAAGTATTATTTCAATTATTCTACAATCATTAAAAAGGGGTCCCGGTATTCGTCACTCATCATGAAATTTCACGCTGCTATTCCGTGCGAGTTTCGACCCTCCCCGGTCAAGCCAACCTATATGCTACTACCATAATATAGCTGCAGCGTGGTTCTTCTAGGTATAAAATAACATTGTACAAAGTTATCATAATAAAAAAGCTTAGGTGAACAACAGGCGCTGTTTATTGGCGGCGCAAGGGAGTTCATCGGCCCACTTCATCCTGTGGGTGTCGTTATATGCAACTATGGGGAATGCCGGAAAAATCCAATGTCTACCGATAGATGGCGGTATAACCATCATGTTATCATTTGTCAAAAGACATACTAAATAGTAAGTGATCACTGAATATTTGTCTAAATCACTTCTATATAAAATTAGTGCACTCGAATGTCTTTTTTAGTATAGTCTCAAAATAAAACCATAAATATCTCAAAAAGTATTAAAGCAAAAACAATACACAGGTAAAGAAATACCAATGACCAATCCCCAATTTAAATTTTATTCCATTGGTAATTTCATTTTGGTTAATGAAATACAAAAAATATCTTGTTAACGCTAGTCGTATTATATTAATACCCAGACCAACGACGGGAGCTGCGTCAAAACGCCTGTACTGCTGTCGTTAATCAGCTTGTCAAGTGTAATCCTCCATATCGAGAGACGCCCATCTCCAGCAGTGGACTACATCAATATGCATCCAACAATGCAATGTACATGAAGGTAAAAAATATTTAATAGTTTGTCCGCGCTTACGTTATGCAAATGTTAACCAGTGTTGCCAATTAAAGCTCGTGTTGACTTAGAGAGTGTGTATTTTGTATATAAAAATGTTTGTTATTGAAAACAAATTCATCAGTGAATTATATTTTCAAATTTTCTAACGCAGTTTTTTTTTTCTCAGAAAATCTATTTTTTTAAATAAAATAAAATGTTTTTATATTTTGTAATAATTGAATGGGCACTTGTTATTACGTTGTATATTTGGTTATATTTAACAGAATTCATAATTTTACCCACTTTATTGCACACAATCGTCAACAATACAATACAAAGTCTTAGTTATACAGTTTATTTAAATAGGACGCCATACAGGTAAAGAAAAAAGACTTCTTCTTTACCTACACGGTAATGAGTACCATGAACAATTACTTTATTTTGCTTTTTAAAGATTAAAACTAACTGTTGGCCCTGCAGACCATCCCTGGAACTTCCCGCTCAGCTCATGTTCGATCTCAAAACGCTCGACAAATATTTTACGAACTAATACATCAAAAACGATTCGAGCAGAAACTTCGAAGATATTTAAAAAAACGTGAATTTTTTGACAACGATAACTTTCGAACGGATCAATCGATTTTGATGTAATTGGTGGCAATCGACGAGGTATTTAAAAAACAATAATAACATTTATTATAAAAAAAGACTAGACTATAAATTCAAAATTTATGTAAGGTGTATTAAGGAACTAGCTCAAATACTGAATAGTAATGGTAGCGGTGATGCAAAAAGTACTGAGAAATGGAAAAAGGTACGTCAAAATGGTTATTTATTTTCTACGTACTTTGGTTTAAGCTGGGTTGCGGTTCTCTAATTTTATGAAAAAATTGCTTTTCTGCTCGCTTTAAGGTTTGCAGTGATTATAAAAATAAAACTAAAAAAAAAGGCTCGCTCCTCTGCTTAAAGCAGCTAGAGGTACTTACTGGTGGTGGGTCTGCTATATATATCAAATTGACGGATTTGGAACAAAGAGTCCTAAATTTGATTAGTGTAGAATTAGCTATGGGTTTGGCCTTTGAGAATTAAATCAAAATTTTTAGTAGTTGGTTTAATCAAAGGGTTTGACAGCTGAAGAGGCTGGGTTGTCACAGGATACAACTTTTTTAATTAAATTAAGCGACTTTCTAGGGGATTATATATTTCATAAATTGTATTTTTTTTCAGTGGCTTTATATTCAGGGTAATTCCCATAGTGAATATTGAACAAGGCATACCGACTTCACAACCATATCACTTAGTAGAATGTAAGTTGCAGTAGTAGGATATCAGCATATTAGTAACAGTTTATAATAATTTTTATTTTATTTCAGGTCCTTCACAGCCAGCTGGCCAGGAAAATATTTCCTCATTACTGCCACCGTCGCTTCCAAGGGCAATATCTTCACCATCTCTTGCCTTTGCAGAGGAAGAAATTCAAAGTAATATATAACATACTTATTGAACAGTATAAAAACTTCAGACTAGTACTGAGTTTGTTCCGGATATTAAATCCAGAAATTCCTGCTTCGCAGCAGCACTTGCAACCACTCAACCACTGACGCAGTGCCTCACATTTTCCGAATAAAATAAAAATAATAAAACATACATGAGCCATTCAATACGAACTCAATGGGTTAAATATTAATAAATCTTACTTTTATATAAAAATTAGTTAATGTTATAAATTTATAAGCCAAATTGTCTGTCTTTTGTGTTTTTTGTACACAACTTCTATATTATTTTTGTTTAAACTTTAATTTATATTTTTCATTATATCATATTTTAGGTTCTCAATCTTGCAACGACCCAGGGCCATCAAGACGTCCTCATGTTACCCCAGCAAAGACTGTGGCATCTCCGCTTGTTTCATTTGTGGAGGTTGAAGTGGAAAGTAAGACTTTAATTATTCATGAAGGTAATAATTTCAAATAAATTTAGCATATCAGATACAGGTATGCTCTCTACAACTATGTCCTCATCTCAAGTCCAAGAAATTCAGCCAGGGCCTGCTTTGTACGGGCAATCAACACCTCGCCGTGTTAGACCAGTTTGAACTCGGGGATCACCTCGAAGACGAATGAGGCCAGCACACACAGAGCAGGAAACACAATAGTTTCTCCAAGCCGAAGAACACAGGAGAAATTTTAAGTCAACAACACCAAGACTTTATGGACATGAGAAGGGAGCAAAATCGAATCAGGTAGTTGAAAGTTCAGGCTCAGAGAGAGTGGTAAGCGTTAAAATTAAGAGCTTTAGATATTTAAGATAAATTAGTTAATAAGTATTGTAAAGATTAGTCAATTAATATTAATATTGTTGTTACTTATACTATGTTATTATTAATTATTTAATTAAATTTGTGATAATAATAAGGTTGATTAGTAAAAAGAAAGTTTAAGCTTATTAAAATTTATTTATTTAATCCTTATTGTAATCTTCTTGCTAATTGATCTCTTAACATGAAGGTAATAATTTTAAATAAATTTAGCATATCAGATACAGGTATGCTCTCTACAACTATGTCCTCATCTCAAGTCCAAGAAATTCAGCCAGGGCCTGCTTTGTACGGGCAATCAACACCTCGCCGTGTTAGACCAGTTTGAACTCGGGGATCACCTCGAAGACGAATGAGGCCAGCACACACAGAGCAGGAAACACAATAGTTTCTCCAAGGCGAAGAACACAGGAGAAATTTTAAGTCAACAACACCAAGACTTTATGGACATGAGAAGGGAGCAAAATCGAATCAGGTAGTTGAAAGTTCAGGCTCAGAGAGAGTGGTAAGCGTTAAAATTAAGAGCTTTAGATATTTAAGATAAATTAGTTAATAAGTATTGTAAAGATTAGTCAATTAATATTAATATTGTTGTTACTTATACTATGTTATTATTAATTATTTAATTAAATTTGTGATAATAATAAGGTTGATTAATAAAAGAAAGTTTAAGCTTATTAAAATTTATTTATTTAATCCTTATTGTAATCTTCTTGCTAATTGATCTCTTAACATGCCACCTCTAATTAAATCAGAGGTAGATTCTCCTCTTTCTGTATAGCTTATTTGGTCACATTGTATTGTCCTTTCAAATTGCAGACCTAAAAATAATCCGAAATTAATAAATTTACTATTTATAATTTAGCTTAATATATTATAGTAATTTGATTTGAAATTAAGATACCCGCCAATATTTTCCTCCGTGTCCTCAACACCAAAATTTATAATTATATTATGTAGCACACAGCGTGCTAAAATAATGTGTGCACATTTTACAGGCTTGTAATGCAGAACTTTATCCTTGTGTAGACATCGCATCGATTTTACAGCCTTGAGAATGTGTTTTCAATGACAACTCGAGCTCGCATATGTTTTTCATTATAATTATTAAACTCAGCGTCTAAAAATGGGCGTTGTGGATATCCAGAATCTCCTAGAGTTAAAATATTAAAGTTATTGTCAATAATATAGATGATAGGTATTATTTAGTAATGTTTTGCTTAAAAATACTTCATATAAATCAGAACATTCCAATAAGTTATACTGTAGATATGTTACCTAAAAGCCAGATCATTTCTCCATTTTGGTGCAAAGATTGCATGTACGTGTTTAAATTACTGCTTTTCCATATATAGGAATCATGATTGGCACATCCGAACTCGGAATTGACACTTAAAATTCTATATTCATCACCTTATACCTGAAAAAAAGACATTTTGTTTATTTTCTGTCCCTTTTTAACCAATCAATAATATTATAGTATAATTCAAATAAAAAGAATTTTAGATTTACCATTTGAACGTTAAGGGAATGGTAGTGCTTACGACTATAATACAAATGTTCCTCTTCTTTTGGTGGGACAACTATTTTAAAATGACTTCCATCAATACAACCAACCACTCCAGGGATTCAATATTTTCTGTAAAACCTAAATTTTAAAATTATTATTTACCGAATCAGGTAAATAATTTGCTTAAGGTTGTTTAAAAATAAGTATATATTTATTACCGTTGACTAACTGCGTGTATAGCAGCTGGAGTATCAGGGAACCGAATATGTTTATTAGTTATATTTTTGTGTTCTTCTATGTACACACTGCATATTTTTTGTGATATGTGCTTTGCAACTCCAACTGGCCTTTGGTAGGATCCAGTTGCAAAAAAGGATAGAGCAGAGAGCACCTGCATTTAAAAAGAGAACAAACTTATACTTCCATTTATTTTAAACTTGAGTTGCAAGAATTTAAAAAAATTGAGGATCGATACACACTTTATGTTCCCAGGAAACGCGTTGAGAGACCTAAGATTTGTCAAACTCCTTAGCTCTTTGCATAAAAACTTGAACACTTTCTTGGAAAAGCGATATCTATTTAAATTGCCTCTCTTTGAGATGTAACAAGGGGTTGAAAGATGCACGAGCACTTGTTTCGACATTGGCGTTATAATTGCGATCATCTTGTGCATTAGCGGCTGTAAACATCCTCCATGCGAAATAAAAACGTCTTGCCATACTTAAATATCGTTCACACAGTACGAAATTAAATTAAACCTTCAACAATTGTTGTCACTACACTGTCTCACTGTAAAAATCTATATGAAAACTTTTTCGATGACGTCAGAGTAAATTTTGTTTATGTTACGTCTCGAATGATCAAAATTGCCGCTCGCACTCGCAAAATACTCGAGAGCATTTGAAACGACCAATCACAAGCGTTAACGTTCTCACCGTCGAATGCTAGTCAATGTTTCATGGTCGATATCGACCACGTGATAAACTCGCACTCAGGAATTGTGTTTCAAGTTATTGTCACTAGTTGGCGCTTTTTTATTCCATACAAATAAAAATTCCAAAAAAATACATAAAAAGAAACAAAAAAATTAACTTTATCGCTATCGAACGTGTAAAAAAACTCGCACAAACTCGCACTAGGCACACTGACGAAATCTAGATTTTCGAAAACTGGTGTGGAATCAATAACTTCTCGATTTTTTGAAAATCATTGATTTTCATATCAGGAAGTTAAAAAAACATTAAAAATTTAACTAAATCACCCTTTAAAAATTTAAAGGATGATTTAGTTCAATTTTTTAAAGTAAAAAACTTCAGTAAAAGCACCAGTAGCCAAATGGTGTAGACTGTGGACCGCGAACTTAAAAAGTTGTTTTCGTAATTTCCAAGATTAACATTTAAATTTTATTTTGCGATGACTCTTTCTTTGAAAAAACGACAACAAATTTTTTAGGTAGAGCAATTATTACTTTCTAAACGAGTTCGAAAAGACGAGGAGGTTCTATATTCGAGAAAACGGCTGAATCAATTAAAATTATTATTTTTTAAGTTTTTATTTGGTCACTTTCTTGTTTGTCTGTCTGTCTAAATGTCGTGCCGGGTGCAATCTTGCAACTTAAATTTCAGGCACGTCCCGATGAGCATGACTTCAAATTTTAAATGTAGCTCAGTATCGGATGAAATTTGAGGAATATGATTGATAAAAAACATGGTAAATTATACTTTTTAGTACAGAATTAAAAATCACTAGTTATTAAATCGGTGCTTTAGGAGTGGTCCCATATAAATTAAAATAAAATATTCCATCTCCGAATATTACAAAAAAAGGGGATAAAGAATTTAATGTACCATTTAGCAACTTCTTACGATAACGATAGGATATGATACCATATTAATGTACTATTTTGTCACAGTTGTCAATTTATGGGTCACCTTCCTTTAATAAAATTAAGTTTGTTAAAAAACTTTAAGTGGCGTTGTAAGAACTACTCCATATCGATCCGTGGGTGTCGTAGGAGGTGACAGAAGGAAACAAATCAGGAGATAAGTACCAGCGTCTTCCTAATAACTAACCCAACCAACCAAGCAACCAAAATGCCAACCCGCTTGCCAAGCGTGGAAACCATAGCAAATATCCCCCTTATGAGGCAATATGTGAGGGAGGCGTATGTTCAACAGTGGACGTTAATAGGCTACAAGGGTAACGGTAACAAAATTTAAATTATGTATTGGTTTTTAGGCGTGGTTGTGCTGAAGTGCACGCATAGATTTGAATCAGTGCTTTTATGTTTACTGCTGTAGATATGACACTGTGGCCATGGAAGGAAAAAGGGAGATCTCCCGCCGGGCAAGGTGTTCTGCCCGAGGAGCGGCCAACAATCCATGTGTTAGTTCGGAGATGTTCTATATATACTGTTTATGATTCGGAATTTTGATAGCGCGATTTAGGCTTCGAGGTGTTTCGCTTGCAGCGCGACGATAGCGCCGCCACATCACCCTCCTGCGCAGGTCGGAGGTCGATGGTGAAGTCTCGTTGCCAACGAATGTACAAGTGCCAGGAGATTGCCTTGTAGTCTGCGGTGAGTCGAGAAGAAGGCAAGTAATCTGCGAGAGTGCTATGAAGCAGAGGCGAGCAGTAAGGCTCAGAGTCGTGCCGAACACTGTAACGCGGAGTGTAGCTTGAAGGAACAGGAAGCATTATTATTCCAGTGCTGCGATGAACCTTGTGAAGCTAGATGGTTTTCAGGATATGAAGACTGCAGACTATATCTGCTCGGGAGCGAATGGGTGGGGTATTTTATGAGAATGATGAAGCTTGAAGTTTCCGAAGGTTGTTGGTTGCGTGTTCAGATCACGTCGGGTGGTCACCACTGTGGCCGTGGAAGGAAAAGGGGGAGATCTCCAGCCGGGCAAGGTGTTCTGCCCGGGGAGCGGCCAACACTCCATGTGTTAGTTCGGAGATGTTCTATATATACTGTTTATGATTCGGAATTTTGATAGCGTGATTTAGGTATCGGTGTGTTTCGCTTGCAGCACGACGAACATAGTATGAAATTAGTGCCATTTACAGGAGATAAAAAGCAGCATCTTAGTGATAATGACTTAAATTATATAAATATTGTAGTTGCCAACACTGTTTATGTGATGAGGTGATCTGTGGGGTAGATCTATGTACAGAAATGAACTTTGGATGAGCTTAAAAATGAACCGCATTCTCTACGAGTCAATATAATCAAAAAAAAACCTACACTATTGAACAATAGGCCTCTACCATAGACTGCTTCACAGGGGGCATATCCACCAATGTTGCTGCGCTGGGAAAACGGCTTGACAACCTCCGTTTTTATTTTTATTCTGCTGTTATCAGGAAGATGCTGCCCACCACCTCCCGATTCAGATTGCCTCTGTCACCTCTTATGCCATACACGGAATTATATGGGGTAGCAGATATTCTTACACCGCCACTAGACCGTTAAAAAGTTTGAAAAAATTATTTTAATGTAACATCAATGAATAGGAAATAATCAATAGGTTTTCCTTAAAAGTGGTTGCTAATTTGTACATATTTCGCTTAAAATGTTTACCCCTACCTTGCTGCAATTTAGATGTAGGATACGATACGGCCGGTGATTTAACGCGACAGTATAAGATGAAGGAAGTACTTTCGGAAGTATTTAAATGTCGTCCAAATTTATGCCTCTTGTACACACAAAATGATAAATAAAGATTTCTTTTTTTATTTGAGAGTAAGGCGTGTGCTATTTAAATTAATATAGATTCTGCAACGCATTCTTTGTAATCAAGGAATATATGTGAGCATGAAATGCTCTTAATAACTGTATTTGTA